ATAGGGCTGGAGGTGTTCTTGAAAGCCTTGATTTAATTATCCTCATGAGTTTAACACACTGCTGCGACAATTTTACTACATGACTTACAAGCATGGGAAGTGTGCAGGAGTAAATTTTGACTTTATTGGACAGAACACTCCTCGAGACTACAATTTCCTTAATGGCAAAAGGGACTTAGTGCTGAAGGTTTCTTTTCAAATTCACCCCAGTGTGTTCTGCTCTCGACAGCATAAACTGCAAAACTGTTTCCCATATGGTTGTCACTCAACAAATACATGCAAATACATTAGATGGCTCTCAGATCTATTGTTAAATTAAAAAAAATGCAAGTAGACATAATTGAAAAGTGTTTGGATACCAGAGATGTATTCACAATTCCTGAAAAGCTCAAACTCTGCATCTAACAAAAACAGCTAAGGCAGACCAATCGGCTCGTCTGAAATAGTCCCCGAAAGACCCACAAACTAAATAATAGATGAATCAACTCAGAAGGGGCAGCTGTAACCCTCAGGTTGGTACTTTACCTGGAATTAGCCTCAAATATAAGTCTTTGATTTAATGCTTACAGAAGGAAACATCGGGGTATTTGCAAGTTCCAGTAAGTCCTCTCTCTTCAACCTGCCTGTGCATTGGAGAGATTATCAGCACGTGAATTCTTTGCATCAGGCGTATGTGCAGCTACAGTAGGTGCTATACCGATGGACTGTATATAAGAAGTAGACGTAGTCATCGTGACGTCACCCATTGGTTTGTGGACTGCCGTTTTGAAGCCTTGAGTTCGGCGAAATTTCGCCGTCGCCATCTTAGATAACGGACGTTGCCATGTTTTTTTTTCACAACCAATGAACTGAAGTTACCATATTTGGAATGCGGAGGAGCGACGTAGAGATGCCGTATACGTCTCTGGTAGCGGCAGCAACCTGTCAATCACAGTAAGCCCGCCCTAAAGCATACCCCGCTTTATGGTCTGTTTTACTCTAAAAGGGATCATCATTTACTAAATGAGCATCATGCTGTATTGAATACGACTTGAAACAAGCAGTTGAGACCATAAACTCAAGTTTGCAATGTTTACTGAGGGAATAAATCAAGTGATAAAAAAATAATTTTCTCATAGACTTCCATACAATCGGACTTCTTTTTGCAGCCGGAGGAGTCGCCCCCTGCGGGCCCGTAGAGAGAATGCAAGTTTTGAGACCCTTCCGCATTGGCTTCACTCAGCAGAGCTGGAGGTTGCCGCCTGGGCATACGATCAGATTGGAGCAATTCAGTCAGAAGCACACACACATCTATTGACTTTGCACTCTGGCTGACTGTATGAGCTCTGCCATGGCCCCCAGGCTGATTCACATTTCACTGTTGGACAGAAAAAGACAACATCACAGAGTCTGGAATTTACAAACCTTTGCTTTTTTGTGCCTTAGAGTTGCACACACACTTTGTCAAAAGATCATGTAAATTGTCACAAGTTGAAGCCAGGCCGTGGGGCCCTCTTCATAGTTTGGTGCAGTTGAAGATGGTGATATGTTGTGTGAACTGTCTGAGTGTCTCAGAGTGATTCTCTTAGAGAGGGATGGTTAATAGGGCAGGAATGTGTGAATAGACGGGCACTGCTCTCAACAGTCCTCTCTCCAAGGGCCTCATTCAAGCTGAATAATGGCATATATACCAAGCACATATGCCATATATGGTAAAGAAAACAAACCTTTAACGTTCTCAAGTTGAATCTCAATTATAAATGCAGATGACCGTCATCCCTTTTGTCTATTCATTTCTGAGCAAAATGACACAACAAACAGGATTCCTGAAGCTGGTCATCAGATGCAGTGGCTGACTAACCTGCCAAGAAACTGTGGATCATCAGCCAACATGTAAACATATTCTGAGGCATGTGAAAAATGGAATTTTACCTCTGACTGGAGTACCAGTTAGATGGCCCATCTGTCAACGAGAAATCTCGAAAAATACAAAAAGAGTCACTCATGAAAATTGCCGTGAAGGTGGGCTATCAGGTCATGGAACAACTAATTAAGTATGATCATTTTGTTTATGTGTAAAAGTTGATGATTTGCTGCATGTCAGGCTCAGACTGGTTCAGATTCTGTTGTTTGTCCCTCATTCAGAGTCCTAATTATGCGTGACAAGATGAAAAAACTAAGAAAAAGCCTAATCCAGTCATAGTTGAATTGAAAACGTTACTGTGCAATCACAGTACAGCAACATGAAAACAGAAAATAGAACCTTTTGATCTAAAGTGATGTCATTTAAACAGAGCTTTATGTCCCTTAATGAAGGGAAAATTGCCTTTTTGCGAGACAAAAGCCCCCAATAGATTGGACTCTAATCCTCTGCATCGCTGAGTAGCCATTTTGCGAGGGGAAAATAAAATAAAACATGATAGTAAGACTCATTAGATGAGGGCTTTTTTGCAAGCTGTGCCATTGTTAGATAACAGCAGTCAGCCTGTAACAGAGCACATCATCCTGGTGCTGTAGATTCTCACACGTTATTGTTTTGTCAAGGCCCTTGCACTTTGCAGTGATTGCCTTAAAGAATTTAGAGCAGCAAAGTCCGTACTATCTTTAAAATCACTTGTCTTAGTAGACCTGCTTTGTGTATTGTGTAATATTTGTTTGAACTTACTGATCTCTTTGTTAAGGTTTCAAGGTAAAGTAGGGTTTCCAAAGAAATGTACTCTTGGCAGAGTGGAGAAGCTTTTGAAGTACTGTTCAAAATGAGATGCCATTAAAGTCTCCTTTGAAACTGAAGATTATAAAAACATTTTTTTTTGTTGTACCGAAATGCCATATATATACCACAAGCTGCTCCTGCCTTCTTTCTACTTTTTGGAAATACTTGTGCTCCTCGCTCTTTCTCTCTGTGTTTTCTATACATCTGGCATCTCGGATGGAAGTGAAAAACATGATTTTAACAGATGCCGCTTTATTGGAGATGTCTGGCTGTCAACGCACACCTTGTTGCTGAACATTAACCTTCCTACCATCTGTTTCACGCCATACGTCCTGACAGAGTAGAGCTGACTCCTGGAGCTTTGATTGCAACTCCTGGATTATTCATACAGCTTGTACATTTATGGTACAAGGCCCAGGCGTGGGTTGGCTATACTCAAGAGAATTTTGCTTTTTTTCTGACAGTAGCAGGTATTTCTGGAAACTGTATGTATCACCAACCTGTGATGTTGAACTCATTCCAGGAATTATTTTGAAAGGACATGTTGAATATACTGTTTTGGATATTTAGTTCACCTCAAACTGTCCTGTCTATTTTTACTTTATTTTGTGTGTGTTTTACCTGTCTGCATATGAAAAGAACAACAGCATTTTGGTTGTTTTAGTTCCCTGGATGGCAGTGTCTGTTGGTCGGCCCGCAACTTTGTTTCAGACTGAAATATCTCAACAACTGTTTGATGGATTGCCATGAAAGTTTGTACAGACATTCATGGTCCCCGGGAGATGAATCCTAATTGGTGACCCCCTGATTTATTTCTCTTGTACCGTGATGAGTTTGACATTTGTGGTTTTGAGTTAAATGTTTTGACAACTATTGAATGGATTGCCATGAAATTTCCTGTCCCCCTCGGGATGAATTGTAAAAACTTTGGTGATCCTTTAACTTTCCATCCAGCAGCATCATGGCATGGAAAACAAACCAGCTAGTGACATTCCCATCAGCTGTGCTCTGTGTTTATTGGTAAATAGTAACATTTTAACATGCTAAACCAAGACGGTAAAGGGAAACAGTACACCCACGAAAAATTTGCATATTTCCATTGTAAACATGTCAAGCATACTGTATAGTGGTGCTTTGAGCCAAACGCTAACGCTAGGTACAGCTCACCTCACTGCTATGTGGCAGGAGACGTATTGTGTAGTTCGAGTCTAGATGGTTTGAGATTTGGCAAATGTTCCAAAAAACAATAATCACAACATAAAACTATGAATTGGACACCGGCAAATCACACATGCACAGAGGAAATAAAGAGTGCCGCTTCTTTTCTAATCTGCTCCCATGAGTATACCAAAGCACTTAATGGATTTTTAAACAGGGTTATGAAACTCACTCAGTGCTTAAATGGCTTAAATGGAATGTGATATTGCAAATCACTTAAGAGAAAGCAATGCACCGTAATTTAAATGATAAACCTTTTGTTTAAAACCACTTTTTGGAGGTAATGTTTGTTGGATGAATTCTTAATGGTATTGTTGAAAGTAAATAGTAAATGTAATGGTGCATGACGGGCAAGTTATTTCATTAAGAACAAATGGAGTAGTAACATTCACATGAAATACCAGGCTTGTGGAATGCGTAACCTCAGCCATTTCCCCTCCGTTTGGGATTTCACCTTTCTCTGTTTTCTTTTTTTTAAGTCGAGTCATTCTTTTCCTCCTTCTTCCTTTTTTGTAACTCCAAACGTCTCTCAAAGTTGTCCTTAGTTAAGCTTCAATTTACGTTAGTAGATTAACATTCCTTGACAGTCTTGGTCACAGTCATAGATATTTGAATGTGAATTCTTTCACGTACGTCCCACCCCTCCCTTATATCAAGTGCAGTGAGAGGAACGGGACAAAGAGGTGGAGAAAGGGAGCTGTGTGTGTGTAGGGTGTAAAAATGTGCAGCGTATTGGGGGCCTTTGCCTCAAAAGGGCCAACTTTTGAGGCAAAGGCCCCCCCCACACCTCCTCTTCTTTTTCCTCGTCTCTCTCTGGTAACAAGGGGGAGGGGTCGATGGATTGACAGACGCAGCTGGAGTGCATAGAGGGAACTGGTCCCACCCCACTAAAGATGCCAGACATAGACCCAATGAGAGAGAGAGAGAGAGAGAGAGAGAGAGAGAGAGAGAGAGA